GTTTGTTTTACAGAATGAAATGTCTGAATGAGTGCTCATCCAAGACTGGTGATTCCATACTTTTTGCCAGGGGTTGTATTTGTAATCTTAGAAATCATCTCCTCTAATAGAAAAATGAGACTTAAAGCAATTTTAAATAAAAGTTATAAAGAAATAAAATATAGAATCACAAGTAGGTAGCATGTTTTGCTTTTGCCTTGTTTGCTAAGACAAAAAAAGTAAGAAAAACAACCTTAAAAGCAAAGTTGTGCAATATTAGTAATCAATATTCCTCATTCTGAAAAAAGGTCAGTTAATATGTTATAGCTAGATTTTAAGTCCACATTAGCCAATAATCCACACAGTACAGGAAACATCGGATTTCAACAACCCACCCCCACCCCCCACCCAATGTTTTAATAATTAATCCTTCAAATGTGCAGAAAGAGTTTGGACTTCATCGACTGCTTTTTTGTCTCCTCTTTAGAATGTATGACCTCAGCGGTGACCGTGTTTGTACATTAAACAGTGGTTGATAAGAATGCACAGAACTCATTTATTTAAAATGCAGGCAGAGACAGAGTAGGAACACATTTAACTTCAAGCCTGAAGCTGTAAATATTAATTATATGTCGATGATGGGAGGAGGAGCAGGTCAGTGGGGGTTTTGACATTGTCTTCTCAACAGCTTTTAAAACCACTGGGAGCCAGACTTGKGTCCAATTTCAACCTCTCTGCAGCTGAGCTAAATCTTCACTAGAGGATCTCCATCTGCTGTCTYGTGCAGGACATGGCACTGTGCGGAGCCAAGGCGCTGCATCTCCTGGGGCCCAACGTGTACTCAGAGGCCCCCGATGGAGGCTGGGGTTGGGTGGTGGCTGTTGCTTTTTTCATTGTGGAGATCTTCACGTACGGCACCATCAAGAGCTTCGGCATCTTCCTCCAGGACGTGATGGAGGAGTTTMACGAGACCAACAGTCGGGTCTCTTGGGTCGTTTCCATTTGTGTGTTTGTCATGACTTTCAATGGTGAGTACACAATGTAAACGAATGACAGATTTTATTGCTAAATGTCAATGTTTCACATATGCATTGCTTCAATGCATATRTAAAACTACAGGCCTGCGGGCCATATCTGGCCCCACTTTATAATATTTTAAGTGTTTTGGAACTGTCCTTCTAATCTGTGACAGATTGAGTCCATATCAGTTTGTTTTAAAAATTGAGCATAATTACAAATTTCGTAGGGCAGAAAATAAATTTAAATTTCTGAGTAATCTSTTTGATTTTGACACTTAGTTAAACTCTGAAACTGATGTCAGGCATCTGGTTTAAGTAAATGTGCATTCTCCATTTTCCCTTATTATCTGAGTGTTTGATTTTTATTGGCATACCGTATATTTAGCTGATTTGATGAAGTGTAAAAAAAAGTTAAGTAAATAAATGAAAAACATCTGATAGAGCACAAGGTGTAAATCTGAAGTTACTGATGTGTGCCATTTTAAGTTGTTTTTTTAATCAAAAAGTTGTATYTATTCTAAAATGCATAAAACAATTATTTGAAAAAACATCTGATTTTTGAAAAATTAATTTGACAAAATACATCTAAAAGGTAAGTTAAAGTTATTTATTTATTAAGTTAATACTGACTTGATGTTGGCCCTTGATTAGAAGCATGGTTTTGATTTTGGCCCTCACTGCAGAGTTTGACACCTCTGATCTACAATAAACAAACGATTCATCCACAGGTCCTCTCTCCTCGGTGGTAACTAACCGTTGTGGCTTTCGGTTTACTGTTATGATTGGAGGGCTGCTTATTTCCACCGGCACCCTTGCGACCAGCTTTACAAGCTCCGTCAATCAAATATACATCACATATGGATTAGTTGCAGGTAAAACTTTTACTTCTTTCCCCCTTTAAACTTTCAATCATTCTTAGATTTTTTTTTATTTCCAGGTAAATTTTAAATGTGTACATTTTCAACTGTGCAGGTCTGGGCTACTGTCTGACCTTCCTGCCCACTGTGACCATCCTTTCACAGTACTTCACGCGTCGGCGGTCTCTGGTCACTGCTGTGGCCTCCACTGGGGAGTCCTTTGCAATGTTTGCCCTGGCTCCAGGTAAGAGTGCTAAAAACTTWGGAGGACTTGAGGTATGTTTTACACCAAGATGCAATAATCATAGTGKTGAATTCTTTGCCTTTTAGCATTTTCTGCATTGAGAGACATTATTGGCTGGCGACACACTATGGCAGTGATTGGAGCTCTGCAAAGCACCGTCATTGTGTGTGGCGTACTGCTTCGACCCATCGTCATCCAGCCCAGGGCGACCCACAGCACAGAGACTGACACATTGTCTCCCAAAGAGCTGGAAGTCCTCAGGTCCCAGGAAAAAGTCGCAAGTGTAAACCTGGACAACTTTGTGACAAAAAATAATGAGCTAACTGAAGGGTCTGTGAGTGCTGCAGACTTAGGAGTTCAGTCACAAAAAGACCTTAACACATTAGAGCAGAATAGTTTGTTGCACAAAGAAGCAAAGTTATACACAGAGTCCAAATGTCTGGAAAAAAGTCAGGTAGGATTGAAAGAATCAGAGGTAAGCAGAGATGCAGCAAAGCAAGTGGAGAAAAGAGAAGCGACTAAATCAGTAGAAAAGAATCCTCCCCTCCTGGACTTCTCCGTCCTCAGAGAGTGCAGCTTCATCTTCTACTCTCTGTTTGGACTCTTCGCCACTCTGGGCTTCTTYGCCCCTCCGCTCTACATCATTGAGCTGGCCGTGAGTCGGGGCGTGGAGCGGGAAAAAGCCACCTACATGCTCTCCATCATGGCCGTGGCTGAAATCCCCGGCCGGTTCGCCATCGGGTGGGTGCTGACGCGGGACGTGTTCAGGAGGAGGAAGCCCCTGGTGCTCCTGGTGTGTGTTGTCGTTATGACCGTGGATCTGGTGGGATTTACRTTGGTGACAGAGTTCTGGGGCCTGGCTGTATGTTGTGGACTGTATGGGTTCTTTATGGGGACCTTGGCGTGCACCCACATCCCCATGCTGGCTGAGGATGATGTGGTGGGCATAGAGAGGATGTCTTCAGCTGCTGGGGTCTATGTGTTCATCCAGAGCTTTGCTGGACTGGCTGGACCACCACTTGGAGGTAAGAAGGGTGGTCTTTGTGTCTGTGCTGATGTCATCCATGCATGGATGTTGTATTAATTTTAGGCTGTTTAGGATTTATTTGAACCATTTTTTTCCAGAATCAGTTGCAAAATATTTTATTTACTGGGATTTTTTGCTAWTTCACACAGCAGACCAATAAACATTTTTAGCAGCATATACAAAAAAGTCTCACTAATATTTGATACAACCACCTAATATGGAGATGGTCCTTGTTCTTCAATAATCGTACCACTTTGTGTAGGATTCTAGAACCACAGCATGACGCTACCAATGCCATGCTTAACAGCTGGTTAGAGGTTTGTAAGCCTCATTTTGACTTTGATATAACTAAAGAGTTTCCTAATTCATTGTATTATGGCTTGAATTTATATAGTGGCTTATGGAGTCCACTTGGACCCAAGGCGCTTTACGCTTCAGTCATTCAYCCATGCACACACACATTCACACACTGATGGTGGTAAGCTCCAGCCACAGCTGCCCTGGGGCACACTGACAGAGGCAGGGCTGCCATGCACTGGCGCCACCGGACCCTTTGACCACCATCAGAGGTCTTATCACAGTTGTTATAGCATTTGGTTTATTAATTATATAAGTCCATCTTTAACCAACAGATTAAACATGAGTAAAAAAATAGACCTTCATTTTGTATTTACATCTGAAAATAAAAATATGGCATCCTCCAAGACGAGCCAAATGCTGCATTCAGAGATTCTGGTAACTCTGTGTTTTTTAATACCATCACGACAAATCATACATATAAATCCCAAAACTGAAACACTTTGAGTTCCAATGTGTGCTGAATGCAGTGTAAATTTCACAATATACTGTAACTCCTGAATGTTATCTTCTGCCAACTGAAAAGACAGAAGTTACAGATTAAGAGATTAAAAATATTTAAAATACATATTTTAGTCAACTGCAGTAAGAGTCTTAAATTTGACACTTATTTCGTTTGTTTTAGTTGTTTGTTTTTTGACAATCTTTCTGTAAATGAAACCTGTTTTCCCATCCTGGATCATGTTTGGTTTGTTTCAGGGGTGCTGGTTGATGTGACCCAGAACTACGGAGCAGCCTTCTACTCGTGTGCGGTTGGCATGGGACTGAGCGCCATGTTCCTGGGCTTGGTAAAACCCGCTAAAAAAGGATTATTCTGTCGAAGGAGGCACGCGAAACATTCTGTGGACAAACGTGAAAGGGACTCCGGATGCAAGGACGCGAGTGGAGAGCAGMTATCAGAAAACAGAACTGATAAACTGAACAGCTGCTGAGTCGGGAGAAAAACTGGAAATCCATCATCACATATATGAGAGCAAACACTTACATTGTGCCTTAATTACACGATAAACCCAACAGTGTTTCTGCTAGAACCACTTTTGCAATAATTAAAAGGGATGTTTTTTTGTGTTTTTATCTACTGTAAGTTAAGTTTTATCTTGAGTGAGTGGATCATGGRCGCAGTTARCACGGGGSACGGGGGGGCATGTCCCATAGTGACCCTGATCAGTCCCTCCCACTTTCCTTGATAGGACGAGAAACATCTCCGATCAAAACTGATGAGTATTGTTCTGTTAGTTCGCTGACGCTCCCACAGAGCTGCAGCAGCGGTCAAAGACAACTCACTCCCCCCTCCCTTCTTTTATCACACACAGAGCGGAGCCTTGCAGCACACRCACACGTTTGTTCTTCTATTCTCATGGGGACTTTGCATTGACTTGCG